ATATATATATATATATATTGTCTTGAAATACATATATATACACACAAACACATTAGTTCACATATTTGAGGCACAGCAGAACTTACCTTGTTCTTTTCCATTACACATGGTGATTCCATTTTCTACGACACCCTCTCCGTCTGAGCTGGGTCTCTCTGAAGACAGTTTCTGTAAAGATAAGGATTATATTATTCTTACAATGACCACACTGGTTAAGAGATGTCTGACGGGTCAATTAAATGTCGGCTCAAAAGCAAAAACAAAACAAGTAGGTCAAATTCACAATCTAGACATGGTTGGGGCTTACTCATAACAAAACTAGCTGATTAGGTTGCTACAAAAACTTTAGAAACATGAAAAACATTTTGGAAATTAACTGAGATTGTATTACACTAACATATGCAAGGTACCATGCCTATTTCACTCAAATAATTTTTTCCTGCAAATGCCTTGCCAAGCCATATTCTCCTTGCATAAATAATATTCCATAGTCTATCTACTTTCCTCCTGTCATTCACCAATAATGGGTGAATAACAAGTACTGGTTTGTAAAAAATACGTTCAGAGTATTGCCAGAGAGAGACAAGTTATTATCAAAATCTTCAAAGGGAGCTGGGATATTAGTCAGCATTTCAGTCCTAATATCTAGATTTAATGGGCATAATTAGGACTTCACGTCAGGATCTGCATGAGATGCAGTGTTTACAGCTAGACCACTTCCATTCCTACCCAAGAACTTAAGGAGCCACAGAGAGGGAAAGGCCACCAATCCACTCTCCTCGGGCCCTCAGACTGGCCAGCTGGACTTGAGGAAATATATAGATGACTTTCAAAGCACAAAAGAACACACGTATTCAACTAGCACACAAGGACCAGATGGTATTAGCCCAGTTTGGTGGACAGATCCCAAGCAAGGGGGAATTCTCTAGCCCAGAGCTCTGGGTTCTCCAGAGCTGCAGTGAGAGAGTTAGCTGTGCTCAGTGGGACCTTATTATATACCAAGTTCTGGTGATACAGTGACCAAGATCCCTCACTGCCTGCATCTCCAGTCTTGCACACAAGGACGCATTCCATGGAATCCAGGCCAGAGTTCTGGCCAGACACTAACTACAGCCTTAGAAGCCACAAAGACGTAAAGGAGGACCACCAGTCCTGACGTGAGTGAGTGAGGGCGAAAGGTGGCCGCACTGTGATGGGAAACAAAATCGGACCAGCCTTGGAAAAAGCAATCAAAAGCTTCCCCCAAAAAGTTCTATTCTTTGGCCCAGAAATTCAGCCGGGAATCTATTCTCAGGTAATAAGCAGAGAAATCGCAATGGTTTGTGTAAAAATTCTCCAATATAGGGAACCAGCAGTTAGCGTAATGGCTATGTTGCTGGACTCCCACGTAGTCGACCACGGTTCGTGTCCCGGACACGGTGGCTTAAACTCACGCTGGGCGCGGGTGCGTGCGTGCCCAAGATCCCAAGAGGAGAATGGAGGAGAGGGGATTGCGGCGTGACCATCCCCCCTGGGGGGGGATTTCTCGCTTTCTGTCTCTATGTCTCTCTCTGTCTGCCTGGCAAGCGCACGCGCCCTACAGTGAAAATCTCTCAAAAAAAAAAAATTCTCCAATATATCTTACTGTAAACAACTTAATGATAAAAAACATCATAATTTGGGAGGAACAGGATACTAACATAGGTGATAATACAGGTATATATACACATTTGATTTGCAATGGATGAAAATGTAAAAATATTTCTTGCTTTAAAAACCTGCAAGATTGCTAATGATATAAAGGTAAGTAAGAATAAAAAGGTAATATAAGAAAATGTATGCATAACATCATCCAAACTATAAAAATTAACACATAAATAGGAAAACGTGGCCGAAAAATATGAGACTGTTAGGAGGAGCTGCCTCCTCTATGTAGCAGACTTATGAGTGTTTTTTTTTCCCCTCCTAGTTATGTTTCTCTGATGGTTCTACAGCGAGCAGGTATTAGTTTTATACTCAGGGAAAAAAATAAAACAAAACAGGGCTGTTGTGTCACAATATCAGGATAAGTGAAAGGGACGATGTTAATTCGTGTCAGTGGGGAGCGTGTCTCTGAGTGAGGTCAACATCTAAATCGGTGAACTCTGAGTAAGCAGAAGGCTCTGTAATGTGGTGGGCCTCGTCCAATCAGTTGAATAAGAAGCCTGGTCCCCTCGAGCGCAGAGGGACTCTCCAGCAGACAGCCTTCAGATTCACCGGCACCACAGGCCATCCTGGCCTCTGCCTGCCAGCCCGCAGGGAAGATCTGGGACTTGGACTCCCCAGAATCACGGAAGCCAATTCCTTATAATAAGGCTCTTTCTACATCTATAGATACCCTATTGGTCCTGCGTCAGGACAGACAAAAAGGGGCCTGTTTGTTCACTGGCAGGGGGCTGAAGAAGGGGGGTTCGGAAAGTTCTTGGGACACAAGCTACCAACAGAAACTCCCAGGGCAGGAAGCCAGGCATCCCCAAGGAAACGGCATCAGTTACGTACAGATGTGAAAGTGCAGGCAGAGCTGGGCATCGCATACAGATCTGGCAAAAAGGGGGTACAGATGACAGGCTCACCCCAGCCCCAACTGCAGTCCCTGATTCTGCATTCCAGTAATTAAGTGGGTACAACTGGAGCGAGGCTGGGAGGTGAATCCAGGCTGGCTGGGAACAAAGCTCTGGGGCTGCACTTACGCGGTTCCTGCTGTCATTCAGACGCAGACACACCAGCGGTCGGACTTCATCTATGTGACTCGGAGTAGTCCCTTCACACCTTTGCATGTACTCCTTCATCTATCACTGACAACAGTGAGACGAACTACACAGTCTGTAAAATGACTCTAAGTCAAGTATAAAGATGATGGAAGCGGGACCAGCAGTTGGCATAATGGCTACATTGCTGGACTTCCATGCAGTCAACCGTGGTTCGAGTCCCAGACCCGTGGCTTAAATTTATGCCAGGTGCGTGTGCGTGCGTGCCCAAGATCCCGAGAGGAGAATGGAGAAGAAGGGACTGTGGCATGGCCATCCCCCTCTGGGGGGTGATTTCTTGCTTTCTGTCTCTCTGTCTCTCTCTGTATTTCTGGCGAGCGCATGCGCCCTATAGCAAAAACCTCTCCCTCCCAAAAAAAGAAAAAAAAGATGATGGAAGCAGAACCGCATTTCTTTTCTTTTTCCAAGTAGAATTGCTGGAATTCTCAGAGGATGTTATAAAATGCTGAAGGTCTTCTCAATCAACTCTAAGAAGCAGGGCTCTTACCTTCTCTAGTTCTGTCTTGTGCACTGGGGAGCTTGACGGGGGAGGACATTCCGAATCCACTGGTCCACTACAGCCGCTGTAGGCTTCTCTGATCACCTGGAACAAGTACGGACAGTCTCTGAGTTACGCCTAAAGGCAGAGAAACTTGAACTCGGAGTTGAGTTGTGAGATAACGGAGACACAGGGCACAGTGGGGAAATTTATGGAATCATAGCCCTGGCTTTGAGTTCCAAGATGCCAGGTGCTCGTCGGTCATTCGTTCACCCACTCACTCTCCAGTCCCGGTGCTGACACAGTTCTCGGCCCACAGAGCAGAGCCGTGCGCTCACAGCTCCTGCGCCGGTGCAGTTGTATTCCATACTACTTAGAAATCACTGTAAACAACAAGTATTACCAAAAAGTGACAGCAGAATAAGACAGCAGTAAGTGCTACGAAGAATAAAAGAATAAAAGATGCTGCTTCATCAAAACGGTGATGGCTACTTTAGACAGGAGACCCAGGGAGGCCTTATTGGGATGGCATACCTAAGCTGAGAGCTGAGTGGCCAGAAGGAACTGACGTTGTGAATAAATGGCAGAAAACATCATAGGCAGAGGAAACAGCTGGAGCAAAGCCCTGTGGTTCATGTGAAGAGTTGAAGGAAAACCCAGAGTGCTGGCAGGCAGGAGATGAGAAGGGGAGACACCAGTAGGAAATGAAGTGGGAGAGTCCAGCAAGAGCCAGATGGTGTCACGCCTGCAGGCCGAGTGAGAGGCGGAGTTTCATGTAGGTGCGATGAGAGGCCATGGGAGCATTCACGAGAGAGGAATGGCAGAATTCAAGAACGCAACTGTGTGGGTTTTAATCCTGGCTTTAACCTTGGGCAAGTCATTGAACTGCTCTACGCGTTAGTCTTCCCATCTGAAAAATGCAACGGCAACAGTGCCTACTTCCGAAGATCGAATGCCTTCAGACAGGAACTACAGCATCATGAGCACTCAAGTGTAATAAGGTGGTAGGAAGACCTCTAGTTGTGGGAAGAAAGAATCACATAGGAGAGGGAAAAAAAAAAAACATAGGGAAATAATCAGCTGGAGGCCATTACTGTAGAAGTCCAACTGAAAGTTGGAGGTGCAGACCAGAGCAGCTGTGGAGAGGTTGCAAAGATGTGAACGGACTCAAAAAGGATCTGAAGGAAAACTCAGTTGGTCTCGCAGATGGATTAGACATGAGTTTTAGCTCCAAAAGGACTCTTAGATTTCTGTTCCTAGTAACTGGGTGACACTGTTTATCCAGGTGGAGACTGAGAGGAACAGGTTGAGTGGAAAGAAGCCAGGGAGGTAAGTTTGAGGCCAAAGGCAAACTTCTAGCTGGAGCTAGAGCGTCACTGGCAAAAAGTGATATGTAGAGCCTTCAAGTGGACGGGCTCCCCCAGGAGGGAGACAGAGAGGAACAGAGATCAGGGAGGATGACCAGGGGCATTTAAGAGTAAAGGAGAGAGCTGGTGAACGAAACTGAGCTGGGATGAACAGGGAAGCAGGAAGAAAACTCAGACAGTGCAGCCTCAAAGAAAGAGCAAAGGGAGCTCTGGGGAGGGGGAGAGCTAAGAAAAGAAGCATCCATTTCTCTGTAAGGGAGAAGAGAAGCTGGGAGGATAAGGAGGCGGGAGGCATGACTGGAAAGACAGGTGAGCAATGGCAGCATTTTTCAAAGTGTTCCTTCTGCTATTAAAAGGCCTCATCCGTTCAGATCAAAGGCAGAGTGAGGATGCAGAGTGTGGAGTCAGGGTGCAGAGAGGCCTGTGCCTTACTGGTGGGAGCTGGCGAACACCATCCGACTGATTCTGTTTTGAGGCAAGAGTACCAGTTACTAGCTGTGTGCTTTTCTGTGTATTTAAACTCTCCGTGCCTCATTGCCCTCACTAGCAAAGGAAGGAATATCAAGATTACCTATCTTGCAGGTCCAGGTTTAAATGAAAAAAAAAAAAAGAGAGAGAGAGAGAGAGATCCTATATGCAAGATGTCTAAGCCAGTGTGTGATATACATACCTTGAAAACATGGTAGCTCTTTTATTGAGTATCTCATGACTGAGAGCTCTGAAGAGGATTCTGAGCTAGATTTACAGATGAGGGGATTGTCAGCCTGTGGGTCATGGTTCTGTGTGTCCTAGCCAACCCTTGCTTGTCACCCTCTTGTTTCTGGAATCATTACTGAGTGGCTCATTTGATGCATTGGGCGTGGTCCGGCCACTGGGGACATGCAGTGAATGACACAGACCAGGGTCCAGGACATGTGGAATGGACATGCTTGCAACTGAAATGTTAGCAGGCGAGCCTTTCAAAATGTCTTCTTTTCTTTTTGGGAACTAAGCTGCAATTTAAACCCAAGCCCCTTGTGGGCAAAGGAGAAGTGCCAAACTCCCAGATATCTGTATAGCAATTTTGCAATTTGATCTCAACCGACATCCAAATTCACTTGGCTTAAACTGGTATTGGGATTAAATCCAAGAACTGACAAGAGACCAGGACAGTGTTTCCAGCCATTCTGCTCCTCAGCTGTTTTATGAAAAAACAACACAGTGATGTCCACATTTTACAGTGAAAACTAAGAAAAGAAAAATGAAAGAAATCCAGAGAGCTTGCTGCAACGTTTTCCTCCTTGTTAAAACTGTCATGTGAAAACATACCCAAACATGGCATGCATTCCAGTGACCTTCGCCTTCTAAATGTATCGCAAGGGGCAAATGGTAGTTTTTTTTCTGTTTCTTTTACTTTCCTGCTAATTTCACTATTGCTTTTTCTTTTTTTTTTCCAAAGAATTATTTTATTGGGAACCAGCAGTTAGCGTAATGGCTATGTCGCTGGACTCCCACGTAGTCGACTGAGGTTCGCGTCCTGGACCCGGTTGCTTAAAACTCACGCCGGGCGCGTGTGCGTGCATGCCCAAGATCCCGAGAGGAGAATGGAGGAGAAGGGATTGTAGCGTGACCATCCCCCATGGGGGGTGATTTCTCGCTTTCTGTCTCTATGTCTCTCTCTGTCTGTCTGGCAAGTGCACACGCCCTATAGCAAAAATCTCTCAAAAAAAAAAAGAATTATTTTATTTATCTTTATTTATTTATTTATTTATTTATTTATAATTTGACTAGAGAAGAACAGAAAGAGAGAGGGAGAGAGAGGGAAACTGAGCCAGCAAGCTGCCAGGTCTGGAACTCAAACCGCAGTTGGTCACATGGGGGTCCAGTGCCCCCGCGCACTACGCCACCTGCTGGCCCCAACTGTTGCTTTTTCTGTGGTACATCTCTGTCCCCTCACCTGCCCTGACATGATGATTAAACCTTCAACTGACAAGGCAGTTTCTTATCGAGGACAAGATCTTTTTTTTTTTTTAAAGAATTATTTTATTTAACTTTATTTATTCATTTGTTTATTGTAACTTGACCTTTTCATCGTCTCTAAAGAAGTGTTAATAAGTGAAAAACTCGTGAGCTCTTATGTCTAACAGACTTGGGTTTCCAGCCTGATTCTGCTACTTGCTACAAATGTGAAGCTGAGCCATTGTCGGAGCCTTGCTTCCTCCTCCAGCACACGCACAAAACCATGCCTCGGGAGTCTTTGTGAGAGTCAGCAACAGAACCCAGCACTTCTCCCAAAGAAGCTACTAGGAAAAACAGCTCTTTGCCCAAGATTACTGTGTTAAAATTGAAATGTTTCTGTTACATAAACAGTCCTGAACACGACAAGTTCTTAATTTCACAACAAAAGGCTGTACCCCCTAATATATAACCTGCAAGAACCCATGATCTCTGGAGACATACTTTTATTTAAAAAGAAAAAAAAATTACCCCCTTTCTCTCTCTCTCTTTCTAATAAAAGAGTACTTTGGCAATACCACTCAAAGTATTCCTATCAGCCTCGTGTGTGTGTGTGTTATGCAGAGGGCGTCCTCTGGGTCATGCGTTTTCTCTTAGCTAACTAGAACTCATGCTCTCAGTGTGGCCAAGGTCTCTGACACGTGCTGCTCTGGCCCTCGCTACGTGGGGAGCACATACTGCGTATGAGCTATGCAGCGTGGCCGCCCCGTCCAGGTGTCACGCAGGCCCGCGTCTCCTACTCAGTTACGCGCATTTGACAGGAGTTACCTTGCTTACACCGGTGCTGCCAATGTAACAGAAACTTTAAAATGTGTATTAAGTTTTTTAAAATGAGGAAATACAGCAGTAAATTGGACTGGAGATTTTCTACGAGGGAAAACAATGAATGGATGAAAAACAGAAGGAGAGAAAGTAGGCCATCACTAAAATAAACAGAGCCACGTGACCGTTTCCCTGGTCCTCTGCACTGATTCCTGAAATCCTGAGGGAGAAAAGCATTTTAAAAAGGGATGTAGACAAAAGCCATATGGCATACATTCAAACCAACACACCCTACCCTACCACACGCCCTGCCCCAGCTAACGTCCTCACTCTCTACCTAACAGACCCTGCTGCAGCTCCCGCAGAATTTCTCCTGGCATCTCCTGGCTCCTGGAATGTCTTCGCTTCCCTTTGCTCTCCCCTTTCCTCCAGGTCTGTCCCTCCAGCACCCAGCAAGGTCGGCTACCACATGGGTTAGTGCGAGCTCGTGTCACGGCCTGACACCGCTGCAGCGGGAAAACATGCCTTTCTGCAAGGCAGACCCACGTGAGAAGCTCATCGGTGTGAGGGCAGAGGCCTCCCTGAGTAGGCTGGGTATGCTGTGCCCATGATCCGAACTGAGTGAGGCTTAGGGAAGAAATGCAGTGTCAAGACCCTGTCAGAGGGGAACCAGCAGTTAGTGTAATGGCTATGTCGCTGGACTCCCACGTAGTTGACCACGGTTCGTGTCCCGGACCCAGTGGCTTAAAACTCACACCGGGCGCGTGTGCGTACGTGCCCAAGATCCCAAGAGGGGGATGGAGGAGAAGAGATTGCGGCGTGACCATCCTCCCTGGGGGTGATTTCTCGCTTTCTGTCTCTCTGCCTCTCTCTTTCTGTCTGGCGAGTGCATGCGCCCTATAGCGAAAAAGCACTCTCAAAAAAAAAAAAAAAGACCCTGTCAGAGGTGCTGTATCTCTCTCTCCCTGTGTCTCTGTCTCA